TACGGAAAATTAAAATTACTACGGAAAGACTACTGTAGTTTTGAAAAAAAGTACACGAAACTATAGTAAATATTACAGAGTTAATTGCTAAAGTTTTGTGTGCTTTTTTCGCAACTACAGTAACTTTTTCCATAAGAATGAGGATTTCGGGAAAAAAATCAAGATAGATCAAGACGAAAAATTATAATCTTTATTACATTTTAGATATGATTCGAATTCGTCTTTGTGATCGATATAGAACTTGGTCACCATATCGTAGCCCTCCTGCGTGTTGAACGACGACGTGGCGAAATTGATGATGCCGTCCCAGAGGAAGGTCTTGTTCCCGAATTGCTCCATCACGGTGTACCAATGCTCGAGCAGGAAGTTGAACAGGGTTTTGTAGCCGGTCGCGCTGCCGGTCATCATACTGAAGATCAGGTGGATGTCCGCGTCCGTGAAATTCTCATTCCGGTCCAGCACGGATACTTGCAGCAGTCTGATGCGGCGGACGCGAAACCGAAGCGATATTAATATTTATTTATCATTAACGTATTTATTCATTTGCTCAAGGAAATTATCTCGTCTGTCTTACGAAGAATATAGTCGAACAAATTTAATTTGCATTAACAAGACAAACACTTGCGTTTAATTTTTTCTTATTCAAATAGCGTACGTATTCGAACTTTTAAGTGATCCATTTTACTTAAACGGCGCGAGCTCTGTTTAAGTAAAATGGATCATTTAACTAAGCTCGCCGGGAACGACGAAGAAAATAGTCCTCGAGAACTTCGAGAAAATTGCATTTAACGACTTGTTTGATTGTATGCTATGAGAAAGAGGATTTATTTAAAGCTGAAAGCTCTGTATATTTTGAATACCGTAAATTTTGTGATACTATACCGACCTTTCGATCTTGTTTGCATCCTTCGGACACCCGGCGAGGGTCTTCAGTAGGTATATAGGTGCGCTCGTTTGGCTTCCTAGCTAGACTGGTCTTTGGGAAACTTATGACGTGCTGCAGTCCGAACTCCCATTCCTCGTCGGTGCCCCATTTGAACACGGGGCAGAGGAATTTATTGGCGACCCTGCAAAGTGTCATTCTTATGAGTTCGTTTATAATGCTTTCCGTTATCGATAAAACGTGAGATTTTTTTAACAAGTATATTTAAAACACTTTAATTAAACTACGTGAACTGAAATGGTTGAGTATGCATATAGTAAATTTCTCGAGTAATTAAATTAATTAACCCTAGGTATACACATTTATTTTTCGCATACGTAGATGACACACTGGGGTCTGGAAAACTCCCGCTACATTTTTCATTAGAACTTTTGAGAAAATGATCGTATTTTTCAGAATAAGCCTAAAATTATAATAAGTACTAATAAACACCTGTGAAAAATTGTAACCACTAAGTGTAGAGAAAACGTCATTTTACTCTAATTGCTTAAAAAATTCATATCTTTTTTGCTAATGGAGATAATCAAGAAAACTTTGCAGATTTTGAAAGAGCACATTTCAAAGTAAAAAAAAAAAAAAACAATTTGCCGCTTAAATACTGGAATATTATCATCAAAATTACAAGGCTCTAAAAATAACAAATTTTCAAATTTCTATTTTATAACGGTTTTGCGGTATAAAAGTTAAAATCTTTGTTAAAAAAATACAAATTTAATGACTTATAATGCACATATTTGCTTATAAAAAAAATAAAAATACAAAATATAAAAAAATTAATCATTTACATAGATTACGTCATCTGTTTAGTGCATTGAGTGCACAACAAAGTTCGATGAGAATCAAAACAGATTTACTTTAGGTGTTAATTATTGCAGAACCAACAAATAACTGATTGTTTTGGCAGTTGCTAGCTATTGAAGAGACTTCAAATTTTTTTTACAAGGCGATTCTACCCCCTCTTCCCCCTATTTATTTATTCTACCAATGGTAGAGTTTCAAAATTTAACTGGGGTCCCGGAGACCCCAGTGTGTACCTAGGGTTAATTGTTCGAATCATAATTCGCTTTTTGACGATTTTGGACACTGACGGGTTTCCTTTATCCGGCTCCTCGTCGGTCAACCATTTTTTGAATTGATCCCTGGCTTCCTTAACGCAAGGTTCGTATCCAGCACGGCAAAGGAAGTTCTGCATAAGACCGCGCATGTGAGTTCTCCAGGAAGGTTCATTAGGTTTTGGATTATCTCCAAGTTGCAAGTAGAGAGGCTTCAATAAGTTTCGAATGTACGCCTGAAATTAAGTATATTTTATTTAATTACTTAGCAAGGCACAAAATGTGATACTTTTAGTGAATAAATTGAATAAGTCGGAAACTCTGGATATATATATGAAATAATAAATTTTAAAACATAATAATAAAAAAAATAGGAAAAGAAGAAGAAAGGAGACTAATTAAAGTTAATAAAGCAAATGTGTATACATGTGCTAGTTAACATTTACTGAGTTTACTAGTATAGATATTGTGCGAAATATGGTGCTACGTGTAATTTCGGGTGATCGATATTTCATGTGAATGTTATCCTTTAAATGATTTAATATATAAACGTTCGATACTGTCAACACCGATTGTGTCTACTGCGAATTCTGCTAACGTTAACATTGGATACTATCTACACCTACTCTATTTTGCCACTTAACGTTGGTATTGAATATTTATTACTTTATTGAATCAGTAAAAAATAACGTTTTTTCTCACCTCGAATTTCAAATATACGTCCAAGCCCTCGATCCGCCGACCGACATGATGAATCATTGTGAATACCGGTTCCCAAACCACGTGGTTCTTTTCTTCCTTGAGGAAGAGAGTCATGTTCATCGCGATGCCGAAGCACAGCTCGCCGGCGTACGCCAAGTTCCACGCGTCGTGCAGAAGCTTCGCCCTGGTTAATGGAGGTATCTTTTCGCGATTTGGCCCTCGCAGATATTGCGACAACATCTTCCAGTTGCACGAGTCGTAATTCACCGGGAACATTCCTGCGAAGAAATATTACTAATTGTTAAAAAAAAAAAGATAATTTTTTGCGTTTTCGCTACATACGATATCTGTAAATATCTTGATTTAATCTATGATAAATTTTTCTCAAATATTTAAAGCTGCAACATTTATAGGATATATCAGAGAAATTAAATGGCAATTGTTATATAAAAATGTAAAATGAAATATATCGAAACAGAAATCATTGTTTTAATCAATACCATTAATGTTGCAATTTGCCGTTAAAAAAATTATAAAAAATATCCACCTACCTATTTCTTCGGGATTGACAATAATAAAATTATTTTTGTTGGTGATGTCTGTGATAGTGAAATTCTTCGGTACGGTTTCTTTTTTCAGCCATACAGTCGGTTTGGTATTGTTAAAGTTTAATTTATCTTGTGCCTGCATCACGATCGGGATGTCCCACTGATATGACACTTTGGCCGTCGATTGCGGAGGTATATCTCTCAGATAGACTTTCTAGAAACGCGAACAAGATATTATGAAAAAGGATATACACACAATAAGAATTTTTTTAAATTTTATTTTTTAGGAAAAATTTAAATTAAAATTTTTACATATTATTGTCTTTTTATCTACCATAAGTATTTATGTAAATAATTATGTGTAAAATAAAGTGACAAAATATTTAATAAATTTAAAATAAGATAATCTAAAAATTTTTTAATTTAATATGTACCAGATAAGAATTTTATAATATACTGGATAACCAACAATTTAATAATATAATAATAATCCAAAAATATAAAAGTCTACCAATGGGCGAATTTCACGAGCATTCGCAAATTAAATCTGTTATATATTTTATATTTTTGTTGAACAAATTTCGTTACGCAAATTACATGGAAATTACGACTTCTTCTAACTAATTTATGTGTTTCTATAGAAGCGAGGCGTCTGCAAGTATTGCGCAACACACGTATGTAACGCAATTAAACTCATTAGTCCTTGATTTTACTATTGCTTTGAAACGATGCGATTATTGTAACGCGTGACGCTTCGGAGATTAAACATGCTTGTTAATGTAATCAGTTAACAAGCATTATTTCTTTATGACCAAGCTTATTAACGCTCATATTTCTTCTGCGAAAAACAACATATTTTGTTTTGGATAAAAAAACAGTGCATTTTACAATTAACTTAATAGTTGCGCATAATCATGTAATAATATTTTATATTATTATTTAAAGTAAAATATACGTTAATGTTTTTATCAAAATTACATCTTTATTTATTCTAGCATATACGCATTTTACTTTTAAATTTCTTAAATAAGTAATGAAGTATTTAATAATTTCTTCCTCAATTTTATTCAATAAAGGCATTCAGCATAATAGAATCAGTATTACTGATCTCGCATTACTCTTTGTTAATTCTCGCCATTGAAACAAATGTAACTTCCGTTGACGAGAGGAATGCTTCAACCGCGAGTAAATAGCATATACGTGGCCATCTTCGTTGCTTTATCTGTGCGAAAATCGCGTCTGCCTTCCCGCGTCGCGCGTCCTTGCAGGAAATAACGCTTTACCTGAGTCCAGCTTACCTGAGTAAGATTAATTTTTCCAGTTTCGTAATCGCGAATGACCGTGACCAACGGCACTCTGTCCCGATTGATCCACGAAGCGGCGATGCCGTTGATGGTCAGACCTGGTGGCAGATTGTTCGTCTCGTTCGCCACGTCGTTCAGATAAGTGAAGATATCATTGGCGAAAAAGGTTCTGTGATCTCTAAACATGAAAGGCGATATTTCGAGATATATAGAGTCTGCGAACGATTTGTTGTGAAGAAAAATAGTCGGGAAGCAGTGCGTAACAAAAATAACTTGAAAAAAATCTCAATTGCTTTGAACAATTCTCAATTGCTTACGCAAACTTCGATAAAAACTTAAAAACTTAATTTACTTCTGTATTATGGAAAGGCGGAAGTTTGGTTTTATGTAAAAACGCTAAATTGTCGAATCTAATTGTAGAATCTGCTTCCCAACTAATTGATGGAGGCAATTACTACTCTTTCGATTGCTGATGGAAGAAATTTCTCAAACTCCTCTGGAACAAGTCGCGCCCAAGAGTGTAATTAAGCATTCGGAAAACCAACTCGGCTGTAAAATTCAAAAGGTGAAATAATTAGTTTCATTAATTTATATAATCACCCAAGATTTTAATTTTACTTGAATTAAATACACAATTATTTGTCAGTAATTATTTTCTTTTTTATATTGTTATTTCTGTTTATAATTAAATTTTCTTTTTATATTGTGATGCAAACTTTTTCCTCGAATGTTAGCTTCGTGAGTAATATATAAATTATAATATACTTTTCATCGTTTTATAAAAGTACTTAATTATTGTAATTTATTTTAATTACCTTTTGTCCATGTTGCTTCTTGCCTGATGCCAGCCACTCTTGAGAAAGGTGCCGTTTGCGCAAATTCGTAATATAGAGGATACAACATCGTCATCGGCCATTTTCCTTGCGTCTCGTTTGGATTGAGCTGTTCAAAATACATAATTAGTTTCTCTGGAATTAACGATATCGCGATTTTTATTATAAAAATGTAACAAACACAGAGTTTATAATATAACAATATTTTATAATAATTACGAAACTGCTTCTTTAATATATTTACAATCGTAAAAAAAAAGACATCACTATACAATTAAAAATAAAATCGCAGACTTACATCGATTGTCGCCATGGATGCCAAGAACGAGTTAAGAGCTTTGTTAATCGGCGCGTCGTTTCGCTGGTACGGTGTAACGGATTGACCGATCCATTGGTAGAGAAGCTCGTACGTAGTGGTCCAGATCAGAGAGCTGCTGAGTTCACTTTCTCTGAAAGAGGATATTTTATTTTATACATGCCACTTCGCGGAGGTATAGAATTATCCTTGTATTAGAATTGTATATACTTGAAGAACATGAGACCCCAATTGTCGGAAGCTTTGGAAATGCTGTAAAGCGGAATCGCCATTACGTCCAATTTCGGTAAGCCGATGGAGCTGTTGAAGTAATCTTGTAAATAATTCACAATTTTTACAACTTTGTTGGGAACATTAACCAGCGACTCCATGAATTCTTTACGGCCCCAAACCTTCACCTGCAGCTTCATTCCATCCATCTCGTTAACTTCATTTGTCGGCTCGATGTTTTGCAGATCCGAGATCATGAGGGCGAATTGATTCGTCGACATTCGAGGTGTCTCCGCGAACTCTTCCTCGATCTTGTCGGACGACTCGTGTCGAGAACTTAAAAGAAGACAAAAATTAAAAGTAATATTTAATTATCAGTAAACTGGATCCAAAACTGAAGTTAACAATTTATAAAACAAGTAATATTTTTTTTACACTTGGAAATCGATGCAGCCCGGCGTAATGGGAGTGAAAAAGTTCGATATTAATGTCTTCGGTATACGTACATTACCGGCGTGTTCGTGAGTGCCGTTAAGCCTTTAGGATACGATACAGTCAGCTTGAAAGTTGATTTATAGGGTGGCTCGTCCATGCAGGGGAACATCTTCTGCGCGTTGTCTAACTGTAAGTAAGTGGCGATGAAGGGGCTGAAAAATGAGAAGAAAGATAAGTAACGTAAACTTCATTGTCATTCTCACTGCGTTATTCCGTTATTTACAAAAAATCTTTTTATATTCTTTTCAAAAAAATGTTCTATTACCATACAAACGTCTTTAAATTTTTGTAAATTATGAATTACATGCTGTTATTTGGTGAAAAATTCGAAGCACGCCGTCGTCTGTTGATTGTATATAATTTTCAAGTTTAATCTTGAAATTTAATAAAAAAATTGTTACTGTACTTACTGTTTTCGACCGTCGGAATCCAAGTACGCGCTTTTATATAGGCCAGTAGTCTCGTTAAGTGTAAGATTCCCAAGATACGTGATGTCGACTTCGCAGGAAGTTCCTTCCTTCAGCATTTGTTCCAGATGAATAATGTACCAAGATTTCTTACTCTGCCGCTCGGTCCTTGCGATATTAAAGTACTCATCTGGCGTCCTGTGTCACATGTCAAACATTGACAGAATGCGAGATTTTATTAGGATTTCGAAGTTCATTGTTATAAACAAACAAATTATAAGGAAATGTATTTGAGTTCTGCTATTATCATTATATGAGAATGCAATTAGTAACAATAATTACTAGAATTCTAGTTGAGAGAAATTATTAGAATTATTAGAAATTATAAGAATTGCTGCTGTAAAAATGCGTACACTTTCCTCAAAAAGTTAAATCACTAAATAGCATTTTATATTTAAACTACGAAATTTTTGTGTTAGTTTAATTATGTGTTAGTTTAATTATTTCATCTGCTTACGCTTCATCAGTCGGTGATTTGATTAGTCTGATGGTGACTAATGAAATCTCAAGATTCGGATGGATGTTCAATGTTATCCTGTCGCTGATATCGTACGCGGTGAAATTGATCTTGACACGACCGTTAAACTGATTGCTCTCGATGAAGGGTATTTTGATATCCACGTGGTAACTGGTCGGCCTAACTTCATTAGGTAATCTATACTGACGCATTTTTGTGTAGTAGATATCGTTCAGATCGATACTGCGCTTCCATCGGCCCTGCGATCAAACGAGCAATTTTTTTTATATCCGACAGTTGGATTACCGTGATTACGGTAGATTTTTTTTTTAATTTGTTGACACTATACTTCGGTATCACTAATGCTTCGAGGAAGACCGGGCGATATCGCCGACAGTAGAACGAGTCCCGACAGCAACGTTGTCCACATCATGGTGAATGGCACAGAGTGAACCTGAATATTGTAGTTGGTATTCAATGTAAAATTATTTAAACGTTTACTTGCTTAGTTAATTCGGTAGGAAGCAGTTTGGAGTCAAGTAAAAAATTCGGTGCCACAACAGTCAAGATTTCTTATCTTTTTAAGAACTCGATAAAATTAATATATTAAGCTCAGAAGAATAAATTATAAATTTTTAATTTTTAATTTCATCGTCGCGTCGCTAAATTAACGTAATTAAAATAAATCAGAGATAAAATAAAGTAACATTGTGCTAATTGAAGAGTGTAATAATCCTTTCTTAAAAACTTGGAGAAAATTAAATTTTTTCAAAGATCTAAAAAGGTGGATCAAATTAGCCTTGCACTTCTCGATTGTATAATCTTAATAAAATTTTGTACTGCTTCCATGAATGGAGTATTCTGACACTTCGTAGAAAGGATTTACTTCGCGTTATGGAGAATCGCGGCTTAATCGATTCCGGGTGCTTACGGCGTGTTATCCTCGCGGCAGGCGTGCACGCCTGAGGGACGCAGAGGACGATCTGTCAGCGGCGCGCGATCGCGGTTTACCAAGAGCTTACACGGATATCACCGCGGTACCGCTGCACCGCGCCGCGCCGGTTGACCTTGATACCCCTTTAAAAAGAGGCGACTTCCTCTGGGAAGAGACGAGTTCGGGAGGATTTCTGGAACGACCGCGTGATAGCGTGGCCGCGGGCGAACTGTTGCCTGGGTGGTTCCACGTTCGCGCGGCTTGGTGCGCCAAAAAGCGGCGGAAACGCGCGGAAAAACGCACCGGGTGCCAGTCCCGCGTGATGTAACACCTCGAGAATCGGATTCAGATCCACTTAGGGCAAATCGGCCGGGGGGATCGTCCATCCATTATTCAATTTGACGATCGCGGCCGTCGTGTTGCTGAAGGGGAGCCTAATCGCGCCGGAGTCAATCCGGATGCGACGAAGAGAGACGACGACGTCAACGGCCAATCTGCGGTCAACGGTGTCGACCATCAAATGGGGGAACAAAGTGCGTCTCGAGCATCGCTTGTTGCAAGGACCTTGGCGCCATTGTGCTCCCCTTTGGACTCACTCCGTGCCAGCGTGCGTACTTGTCTGTATTACGTCGTCATCGCCGATGACACGTGCCGTCGATCTGCGTGCCTGCTCCTGGTACCGACCCCGGACCAAGCCCAATGTGCACTTGGACTACGATACCATATCGCCTTAATTGAACTTGATGGAGTGTTTTTGTTCGCTAGTTCTTCTCTCGCTGGGATTCTCGCGCAATAACTGGGTTAGTTCGAAGCTATAATCGAGGACGCGACGGCTATACGAATTTGACAATGTCATCTGTATGATATCTTATATATTTTAGAAGAATATTGACAATGAAATTTGGGAGACATCTATATGTACTTGAAATCGGAGCAAAAATTAAAAAATATGTTCTAATTAAAAAGGATTATAAAAAGATAAATATTTATACAGGGTGGATGGTAATTCGTAGTACAACCGAGACTAAGGTGATTCCTCGTTCCAAAATAATCGAAATTATAATAGAATAATTTTTTTTTCGTAGGCTTCGTGTGAGGGTTCGTTTTCCAAATAAACGACTTTGAAAATCTATGAAGTACACGTGCACTTAACTATATCTCGACTAAAAGACTGCTATTTCTGATGTTTGTGTTTTTGTTTGGAGATATCAGTAATAATAAATCTTTTAATTTTTTACTTTAAAATTTATTTTAAAAACTATTGAAACTGTTGGTCTTTTTGTTGAATACAAAGTTGTGCTCTTTTAATTACAGGCTCATGAATTTTTGCGTTGTCTATAGTAGCAAGCTGCAGCGGATAGAGGATAACAAGAAAAAATAGTTTGTTGACAGTCGAGGTCCGGAACATGCTCTTTGAACTAATCGGAGCACTTCCAGATCTTGACTGTTAAACAAACTGTTTAATTTTTGCAGATGGAAAATTTAGTTTCACTCTTATATATATTTTATTATAAAACACTGAATCACGGAATCACCGTTTTTATAAAAATGTTATTGTGCGACTTCTTTTATTGTTTGTTATTTATTTATTAATTTTAAACTGATAATTTGTTAAAATTTTATGTATATATGTATATATGTATATATACATAAAATTTTATGTATATTTTATGTATATATTTTATATATATACATAAAATTTTATATAAATGTATTTTTTTTATAATTTTTTAAATATAACGCTAAAAGTTTTTAATTTTTGCTTCAAGAACGCTCCAAACTTCAATTATATGAACATCTTGTATTAGTATTACTGCTGCAAATTGAAAATGCGATAACTTAATTTAATTTTGTTAAATGTCTAATATAGAGTAATTAGAAAAAAATAGATAACAAATATCTGAAGAATATACTATATACATTACATGCTCAAAGTATTAAAAATTGTATAAAGAAAATATAGAAAAGCTTTATGGAAAAACTGCTGTTACGAAAGATAATAAAGCATAATTGTTTAAATAGCATTATTTAGCAATATTTTAATGTTGTTTTTAGTTACAACTAACAATAAGTGTTGTTTTTATAACAAAAAATATTTATCACAAATAATAAAATTATTTTCTTGTACGTTATTTAAATATTCTTTTTGGTCTTCTGTTTAACTTCTCTTTTTAATCATCATTCACATTTTGTGAAAATTAAGGAAAAAACTTATTGAGCTGGTCGACTTTATCTCCTGTATCATATTGTGCGATGCTGTGTTATCATACTGGACTTAGTTCCACGTGTCACGACAAAGGGGAGAAGGCTGCAAGGCGCGCAGAAAAGTTCCGATAGCGGCTCTAATCGCGAATTATGGCAGAAGCAGCGCATAAGGATAAGGAGCGAAACGAACGTTGAGAACGACACGGAGAGCTGACGAACGAAGAGAATGAGTGGGGGAAACCCGCGAGTGTTCTCGACCAACATCCACACACGGCGTCACAAGGTAGAACGGCTAATTGCAGTTGTACCTGCGTTACCTGTGCGCCGCCACGCTCGCGATTTCGTTTCCGCGTTGGATGCGCATTCGTTCTCCAAAGCCGCCTTTTCGTATTTTCGCGCATTTTCGTTGTCGTTCTTCTTAAAAATACCTTCGTATTATTCATTCAATATTTCTTCAAATTGGAACGATGCGGCGAGGATCCGTTAGCAGTTGGCAGTCCTATGGACAGCGAAATTGTAAGTGGATAACAGCTGTTTTTGCTTTTGCCATCGTTGCTTTTATGTCTATAAATTAGCGTTGATGGAATTACATCAATTAAAATAGAAATCTTTATTTTAAAAAATGTTTATAGTATTTTTTTAAGTTAAATTTTGAAAATTATAATATCTAATTTTAAATCCTTATTAAAAAATTTATGAAAATAATGTTTAATGTCAGATATAAAAATAAAACAATATTGCATTATACATTTTGAAGTTATATAAACTGAGATATGTGTTAGCTACAATAAAGAAGTAAAGTGGAAAACTAACTAAACTTTGGAAAATTATACTACGTTAAATGATATTATTTTTAATAAAGGAAAAAAATGTCTTTGAAAATATACTTTTACTGCATAAGTGAAAAATCTTTCATTTAAAGTTAAATGCTCTTATCAGAAAGTTATATACGGTGTCTTGATAGTTAACGCTGACAATTATTAATTCACTTCCGTTGATAAATATCAACGTCCGTTATTCTAATTGTTTTATTACTGCAGTATCAGTTGCATTTGTCAATTAAATATACACCGTCATATCTTCGATACTTGAGAAACAATTTCTATTTTACTAAATTCGTCTTTATTTCAGAATTTTTTTTACGATTCGCTTAAAGAAGAACATTCAAATTAACTTATTCAGATTTCGCTTTATCGTTAAATGTGCAAATATGAAATTGCTTGCATCGATATGAATGGGCCCGTAAATTAATCAACTAAATTAAATCATTGCGCCGAACTATTGTAGCTCGTTGATCGTTGACTTTTTATGACGGTTATAATCATGCGAGATTTTGAGGGTCGGTTTTCGATCCTCTATTACGTGTAATGCAAAACTCACAAGAACTAATTTTATTTATTTAGTAATTTTTGAATTTTTTTACTTTATTTATTTAATCATAAATTAATAACAATCTGGAAGTCGGATTCACATTTACAATTTTATATTGCAAGTATATAACGATATGTTAATGTCAAATAACTCAGTCAGTTAAATGATTCATTGTCAGTAAAAAATCTATTGAATAACTCAATTAGTTATATTCAGACAAGCTTGTAAATATTCCATGCGTTAAATCATTGAAAAATCAATAAAACTGTCTCTCAGAACAAATATATAATCTTTTAAAATATGCATGTGCATGCACGTGGAAGCGGTGTCACATCAATTTCGAGTATTTCGAAATAATTCTCTCGCGCATTAATTATGTTATTACTGATGCTATCTGTTCGCTGTGTTACATGTGTTGCCAACTTTGAGATTACCTTCGATATTCATTTGTAATATCTTCGTTACTAATGCTGATACCATTGCGCAAGTTTTTACCAACATTTCAACATTTCGTGATTGTTGCAAAAAAAGAAATTACATTAAAAATTAAATTTTAACATGATACTTTCGTATAGACTAGAATATCATAAGATTTAGTTTTATATGTGGAAGATATAAAGATATATACAGGAATATGTAAAAACTACTAGATTTTTTTTATTTAATGTTAAACTTTACAAATTCAGCTTACTTTATAATATTAAGAATTATACGTACAAGTAAAGAAATTTTACTTGGTATCTGAGTACTTGAGTATATCTATTGGGCACACGGAAAAAAATGATCCTGTATATCAATAGCATCAGTCACATCAGTGTAATTGAGATAAAATCTATTGATGCAACATGAATATTAACGAACAAAAACAGTGTTTTAATAATTTAAATATTTGGTCCAATAAATATCCAATTGAATTAACTTATGTTTGTGGCAGCCCGAGACGTTTAATTGAGCAATTTTATTTTTTCCCGTGCATCATTTGCATCTGTTGAAAATTCAGAGAGTTTATTTTAAACTTCTGTTGGTACAGACTTCTGTCTCGAACACAGCATTAAGATATTGACATTTGTTTATGTGACAGTCACGTTCACATGGTGTAACGAGAAACGTGATATAACATCGTCGTTGACGCTACGATGTGACATAATAATAGAGAATTTCCGGACAAACAAATAATAAGAATATTACTTAAATAAGTAAAGAAGAAGGATTAACAGATCCGTAGATATTAATCTCAACATCAAGAGAAGATGCGATATGACATCCTTTTAGTGTGCTTTACCCGTTTTAAAGGCATTCTCTCAAAATTTTTATAGCAAAGTCAAAAGTGCATAATGCGTTTTATTGAAAACAAACTTTTTCAATTAATTTAAATATAATATTTTAAATTTTACTTATAGGTGCAAATAATGCTTATTTTTCTCGTGCTACGGTTTTCTGTGACGATGCGAATTTATTTCATTCACTGTTGATGCGTTATAACTTCATAGTATTTGATGAAATGCAATGCAAACAAATTTTAGCTGCATTCTTATTATACACGCGATGAAGTAGTAACAGTGTACTATGGAAAGTACGCTTGTTTTTGTTGTGAATATTCCTCGTTAGAAGTTACGCCCGCTCAAAATCAATGCTGACCGTCGCCGCTAATACCGTGCGAACGGCACCGATACGAGCGTTATCGGCGCGACGGTGATTACGCGAATGCTGGGAGTTGATACGTAGTCGGCCGAGGTGCACGAGTGCAGGACCTTGAAACCGCGTCTCTTGCCGCTTGTTGCGTTCACGGGCCTATCGCGGATTCCTGCGATCACGGGGAACCAATTTCGATGACATCATCCGCATATTATTCCGCGATTCTAGTGTAGCACTACTAACGCGAAATTCGTCGCGATACGATGGATGCGCGCTCACGGATAATTACAATTTTTCCTTTAAAACTGGTAGGGACAATCGGTATATGCGCCTCGCCTCGAGTCGTCAATTGTCTCGGCGATGCTTACAAGTCTTCTTTATAATTTTCGTAATTATTTTAATTGCTTTTAATTGCTTTAAGATTCTATGATTTAATCAATTGATCGTAAACTCGAAATTACTGGTCTCGATTATGCCGGCTTGTTATATTTCTAAGAAAATAGATGTCTATTAAATAAAATATGTATGCTGAGAGAAACATTATCTGAGAAAAAGGGAAATTTTTCGTCTTCAAAGATCAATTTTAAATTTTCTTTTACATTTATAAATATCTTTATCTTCTTCTTCTTATTCTCTTTAAATTGTTTATATTATTCATTTAGCTTATCTCTATCAATTTGTAATTATAATATTTTTTAAATAAATGATCAACTTATAATTTCTTTGATATTTAAATTAATTAGCTATTTAAATCGTTAAATATTTATGAGATAGTTTTTTTAAGATGTATAGACTATATAATATAAAAACTTTCTAATTTTTATTTCTTAAACATACGAAACTGGAGAATGTAGACGTTCCTGCTTAAATGATTTTTTTCAAGCTTTTTAATTTATCCAATCAAGAGGAAAAATCAAATTATCAATTTAGAGAAGAGTAATAATATTTAATAACTTGTAACAGTTATAACGTGTCAAGTGGCCCGTTACCTGATCGCCACGATTGACGGTCATTTTGAAAGTGCTACAGCCCATTAAATAGGAACAATAGGCACGAATGTTGAGTGCGACAATAAACGTGCGCATCCTTTTTATAGCGGCTCTAACACTTTCAGCAGACTGCATGATGCAGACGTATGAGGGTAACACCGCGCTGCCTCCGCCCTGCGAGGAAATTGTTCACCAACGAAAGGGTGGCTGGTTCTTAACGTACAAAAAGATTCTCTCCTTCGTTGTCCTGATTGTGATCGTTGTGATCGTCGCCGGCCTGATCGGATGGAATATCGGCACAATGCCCAAAACAAGAGTAAGTAATTTATTGTAACTTAGATTGTGTTATCATTATTAATAATTTAGTATCATGATCACAATTGATATTTTGTTATAGCAATTTTAAATGCAACACTTTTGAGGGAAAAAATTAAAATTATAAAATAAAAAATTTTCACATGTAAAAGAAATTATTATTTTAAAGACATTATTATCTTATTGCCATAAAATTTTAATTAATAAATCAGTGCTGTTTTACATTTATAGCTTTAAAATGCAAAATAATGGAACATAAGCTATCACTTTAATAATAATAATAATTTTTCTCAAACTTTGCGCTTTCTGTTAATTAGATGTACGATCCATTAGCTCTTATCGAGGACGAGGTGGAAGAAGGGGACGATGTCATTACGGACACGATATCGCCTTTCGTTCACCCTTCGAGATACAGTCTCGAGTTGACGCTGTCGAATGACGTCAACGCGACATCAAAGCTGAAAGGACGAGTTGTCATCGAATTTCGTGTGGACGACACAACGCCATTAAACAAATTGTCTCTGAATGCAAGAAATATCACGGCAACGCGTTATAAGTTGTTGCTCATAGAAGAGAACGGCGCGCGAGCAAAAAGAAGGCGTAGGAGACGTGCCGAAGATGACGATAAAGGCGGCCAAGTGAACGCTACTGGTATTTCCTTCGAAAATGTCGTATAAATTTTCCACTCGTCGATATTTCTTATCAAAATTATTTTCTGCTTTTTTGGGATTGTAATTAAAAAGAATACCTCGCGATCGATACGAAATAATTTGGCTTATATATATAAGCCAAATAATGTGATCAACTAGTTACTTTAAATTATTTTTTAAACATATGTTAAATATATGCAAAAATTTACACTCTTGGGTGTTGTAAGTGAGACTAGTGTTTGTTAGATTTGAATCGTAATCTATGTCACGAGTGTGACTCGTGCTTGTTTCATTTGGATAATAATCTGCACCGCGAATGTAATTCGTTGTTATAAAGCAACGGTTTAACAAAGCAACAGATTTCTGGTAGTGAAATATGTGCGATAAGACGACGACTAGCTTGCAGCTGTGTTAATATCTAGTACAGTAGCGTAGCAGGTGGTCAATTGTGTAACCTTCGCGATAAATTCTAAATTAAAAAGAAAAATTATTTTATTTTTACTGTTTTAAACGTTACGTAATTCAGCTGATTAAACATCTAGTTTTATTCTTCAATTTATAAAAAACTGGTAATTAAACGACCACTTTGGAATTTATATGAAACTTTCGTTTCCTAGTAAAAATTACGTAATCAATTGTGTCTAATGTCGGACAACGATTTGTTCAACGCAGACAATGCTACCACTCTGGCTCCTACTGTGATGTCATCTCCGCAATTGGATAATGAAACAACGCGCGTCGTTGTTACGGATGTTCCTCTAGGAAACGTGACCGTTTCGGCTAACGAAACTTCTCCTTCGACGAACGAAAGCTCGTCCGTGGCCGATGAGAAAATCGCGGAATCTGTGAACGCGACGACGACGCCTGGATCGACGACGTCCACCACGGTAACTTCCGGTAACGGGAGCGTAACCGATGTGGAGATCCAGCGATATGAGGAAGATGCTAATAACGGATTACACGTGATATATCCGGCCGTCGCCATGAATCCGGGGACGTACAGCCTGGAGATCGATTACGAGATTGTGTTTGATGGAAAGGCGGTTTATTCGGTCAATTTCAGAGAGCCCGGTGAAGGAAAGTAAGTTTTTTCTATGATTACAGTAACAAGGAAAATTAATTAACCAATTGCTAATTATATTAGAGAATTAAAACAAAAGATATAACTACTCATAATACTAATAAAATTTTTTGATAATTACAAAACAAATTGCCTAGAAGTTTAATATTATAGAGTTATTATTAATATTCTTTTAATAATATAAAAATAATAAACGTATTTTTTTATATACTTAATCTTTTTCGTTTTACGTTAAAACTGTTCATTTTTAGAATATTTAATATTAATCTCACTTAATGTTAAGAAAAATTTCTTCAAGTATTATCGTTGTATTGTATTTTTAAACGTGTTTAGTTTAACAGAACCATGCTTTAGTAAGTTTTTCAACAATTCTACATATATTTTTAGTAGATCGTTAATCGGGACGCGGCTGAAACCCGTGGGAGCCTCGCATCTCTTGCCTATCTTCGACGACGTAAATCTCAAGGCTGTTTTCTCGGTGTCCGTGGCACGTCCGCGCGAAGCGCGAGCCCTGTCGAACATGCCTCTCAATATCTCTAAAGACACGTGCGTATATCATACTGTTAATTATAGCTGTGTCAACGTTGCGTGCTTAGAGAACTATATCGGTTTGAAATAGCGAGACTGTCCAGTTTCACTATTGTTTTCTCAACTGTGTTTTTTCAAGTGAAAACAGAAAAACATTGCATAAAACAAAAAATTGAAAATCGCCTGTAACTTTAATCATTCCTAATATGGCAATTTTTAAATGCTATCAGGCTTTATTGGTTTTGATCAATTTGATCAGTTTGACTTTTTCTTATTTCAAATTAAAGTAAGATTAAAGTGAGTTAAAGTAAGATATTTTTTTCATTAAAATATTAATTTGGTGCAATTTTTTTTGTGAATTAATTTTACGTGTCATTATTTTTTTATATTTTTTTTCCCACGTGCGCAATCTTTATGAGTTGAAGAAGTGATCAGTGTGTGACTTGTATCTTTCAAGATCGGGTGATCGAGTGATCGACACCTTCAGCGATACCCCGTTGCTCTCGCCTTACAATCTGGCTTTCGTAATGGGCGAGGTCGAGTCGTTGGGCGAGACGAAAACGGGACTTGATAACGCGACGAGGGTGACTTTCTGGGGCGATCCGAAGAGGCGATCACGGGGGATTTATCTCCTCGACAAACTCGACCAAATTGTTACACATTTGTACGACATATTTTCGATGCCTTATCCGCTACCGAAATTGGATATCGTCGCATTACCGTCGCGAATCGTCGATAACGCCGGAAGCCCAGGATTGATATCATTGAAGTAAGAGAGATCGTGGTGTTATTGCATTTACAAGAATATAATTAGGTTACTAGCAAAATTATTTTTTGCTAGAGAAGATTGTAATTTTCTCATAAACTTCCGAGAGATAATAAAATTTTACTTTTAAATGCATTAATTTTAAGATTTTGTATGAATTAATTTCAGATTTTAATTTCTAATTTAAAATGCAGTTTTAATAAAATATCAAATACAAAACATTTTTAAATTGTAATAAAGTCTGACAATAAAATAAAATTTAAGCAAGATTTGGTTGAAGAGCAATTTTTAGTCGATATAACAATTGTATGAAAGATCTTTTGAGGCAAGAAATCTTAATTATTTAAAATACTAAAATTATTAAAATACATGCTTGCTATTTATATTTAAAAATTGCGACTGGATGCAAATGTATTGTCAGGCTAATCCATTATACTCTACAATGGTTGTACGTTCGACATTGCGTTATATCAAGCTAAATTGTTTTCAAGGCAATCGCTCTTCTACGCCGCGGATCGATCTCCCATGGTCACGAAGACGGACGCGTTAAGCGCTCTGATAAGCCTGATAGGAGAACAATGGCTGGGCGGTGTCGTGAACATGAAGAACTGGACGGACGTTTGGCTACTTGAAGGCTCCACTCTCCACTTGCGACACGCGATGATCGAGAAGGCACATAATTGGAATAATATTTACGACATCCATTAACTCTAAAAGTGCATACCGACGTCCGACAAACAGTATTTTGTGCTGCAACATACGTTAAATTATATTAAACGTATACTTTATGTTAAATTATATTAAACATAATTATATTAAAATTATGTACTTTTACAGTTAATATATTAAAGCATATATTAATTATTTTAAAAAGGTAATTACGAGTAAATAAATAAAAGGAGTTTTACTTACACGGTGCAAATTTACAAAATTTTTTATATACAAATGGAAAAAATAAAATTCTTTATACGGAGAAAAAAATTTAATTTAAATTTTATAATTGTTTTTAAATTCTTTATTTTATATTAATATTAAAAATTGATTTTTTAGTATTTTCTTTTAATTTGGTTTACAGTTTATGCTTATGTTACCTTTTTGAAATAATTGATTCACATTTCACAGTGTCTAGATAAGTACAGTATTTTCTTCCGAGGAAAGCAAAGTTTTTATAAGATTTTATTTTCAGATAGATTCGTCATTGGACTCTAATCATGCCTTCCTTGCTAATGTGCAATGGGATGCCATGGAAGAGGATAGCTACAGCGTTTCAAAGCCGCTGCAATCGAATATAAATCCTGCTCATTTGGATTTTTCGGACGACAATGCTCGACATAAGAAAGGTACAGATCATTTCTTCCTCGAGCAATGCTTGTGATACTTTCAAGTATCATTATCTTGCTTTTGAATACTATTGGCATTAGTATTTTACTTTCAATATTAGCTACATCGATAGTGGAGCTGTGACTATTCGAACATTTTAATATTTGCGTATTCTACACAAAAATGCTATTAAATAAATATGAAACATTTGAATATTATTATAAGAACACAAATATCTGTATGTTAATATTTATAACTATTTAAAATTTGCATATTATTTGAATATTATTACAAGAATACAAATATCTGTATGTTAATATTTATAACTATCTAAAATTTGCATTATTTATTTTAAATAATTTTGTAGCTAGTGAAAAAGTTTATATTGCTTTTCAGCATATTTTTTTCACTGTTCTACGCGACTTTTCCAATATTCAACAAGTATTGGAATCAGTATATCTCTCTGAACATGCAAACACGTGAAATAAATGTCGGATAATCTCAGCTTTACTCGAAAGGCAGTATCGAATATTATACGCTCTCGTAACGCTGATGCATAATGTGACTCTGCATTCCGATTGCTTCTTGTAGGTGCATGCTTGATTCGCATGTTGCATGGCGTGATAAACGATACCGCCTTTAGGAACGGCTACCGGAAATTCATAGCGAGGTGGTGGGTATATCACATTATCGTCGTTTTATTCCTTCGACCGCCGCGCCGGGCCGTCGCGTCGTACGTTCATTAATCGTGTAATCCCGACATCGACGTTTATATCACTCGCTCTCGGCCGTTCGCCACATATGCGCGGTACAGCGTTGATTCAGTCATCGAAACGATAATCGACGCGTTTTACAGCGAGTTATCCCGCTGACTTTATGGTAATGCCAGTCGTTGAATGTCACGAGCTGCCGACCATTATTTCTCATGCTTCTTTATCGGACTCGTTACATAAGTGCACCTATCATCGATATACATATTTCGTATGGCATTGAACGTCGCAATGTCATACAGATAAAATTGTATACAATCTTGTCGCGTGATACATACAAAGGGATGCATTAATATAGTGCTCCATGTTTCGCTACAGAAAAATACTGAAATATTTAATATTTAATAAATTAATGTCTTTTTTTTAGGAACTATTCGACCGCGAACGTTGACGATTTCTGGGAAGCGATGGCGGAAGAAACTATCGGATTACCCATCGAAATCACGTTGGCCGAAGCAATGAACTCTTGGATTTCGCATCGAGGGTATCCGATTGTTAGCGTCAAGAGAAAATATGAGGAAGGCACCGCTGTCATTCGACAGGTGAGATTTAAATTCTACGAATTAAATTGCGTACTTAATCTCTTACGGGAGATCATAATTTGCATCAATATGTTTCTCGATGTAAAATATTTATTATCATCAACTATATTATATGTTGCACAGCTAAGATTTACGTATGAGCAAACATTATCTGACACTCAACCGACGTGGTACGTACCGCTTGACTATATTAACAAAACGAGCAATGATTGGTCATCTCCGACAAAGCTGTGGTTGCATTCCGAAGCGGAGATGGTGGTGCATAACGTTAGCGCTCAAGATTCTTGGATTGTGTTCAATGTGAATAAAACAGGTTAGCTACATAATTTCTCTCAAAAAATGCATCCCTCAAAAAAATTTGGCTACGAACAATTAAGACGTTTTCATCAGAATTAGCAAAATATTTTTTTCATATGAAATTATTAATTGAAATTGTTAATGTGTTAATTATAATTTCTTTCGATGATTATCTAATGAGAAAATAGAGCATTATAATAAGAGTTGAAGAAAGAGAGAGATAATTACAAATTTTATTATTTTAAATTGTTAAAAATGGGCGATAAGTAAAATTTATCTGGATATTTTCAGATATTTATAGGCAAGCAATTTACATCGTCTAATAAAATGAGAAACATTTGTTTTACTTTGTATTTTAATTAATTTCTGACGCTTTTCTTTTTCTTTTTTAATTATTTTTATATTATAACGTAATTTTAATTTCTTAACAAGTAATTCTTTCAAATTTTACTCATGCAGAAAATAACTTCTTCTTCGAGAGTATGATACATTAAATTTAATATCCTCCAATTTAATGAAATTGCGAAACGGGATGCAAGTATCTGGCCCTATCGTTATTAATTGCCTTCAAGGTTATTACCGTGTGCACTATGATGAGGAAAATTGGAAGCTCCTGACGCAGGCTCTCGAGGAAAATCACGAGGCTCTTCCGGCAGAAACCAGGGCGTCGCTCATCGACGATGTGCTCGGACTCGCCGCGGTCGGTATGACGAAATACGCGACCGCTTTCGACTTTATTAAATATATGCAAATGAAGGAACGGCATTACGCTCCCTGGGGTGCTCTGATGCGTCATCTGTTGAAGTTGAACGGTCTCCTTTACGAAACATCTGGTTTTAGCGCCTTTCAGGTAACGCAATATGCTTATGAACAGAAAAGAACATCAAAAGAACATATCAAGTTAAAGATTTTTGGTATAAATTTGTTAAATTATTTATACTTAATTGACATTTAAGAAGTTATTGGTTTGTAAAATATAATTAATAAGTCGATGAATATTTTGTGAAAAAAATTTCTAGCTGCAAGCTAAAGATACAATGTTAGTCAAAAATAATTTAATTAAATGCCTTGTGAACATAACAAATATTTAATATGATATGATGAATAGAGAAGAATCACATTGCAAAACTATTGAAAAGAAATTTATATTTAATACTTTATTGGTATCTTTATTATTAAAGCAATAAAGAATCTCAAAAACTTAAGAAATCCAGAGGTTAAAATTTATTTGAAAAAAAAGAGTATTTAAATTAATTTGTTATTTTTATCGCATTATTATTTAATTTGCATTATTGTTGAATAGTGATACGATGAAATGACTTGATGAATGGATCGTTTGCAGGAATTTACATTACAATTTACTTCGAAATTGTACTCGGACGTGGGATGGAAAGTCGATGAGGGATCACGACTAACTTTGACCGCTCTTACGATAGCTTGCGCGTTCGAGAATGCGGAATGCCTCGAATGGGCCAGGAGTCATTTTGCAAAATTGAAGGACCATTCCGATGCGGACGAAGTGTAAGTTTGATAAAAATGCCTAATTTGTAATTCGAAATTCGCTCCTATTTACGTTCATACAACTTTTAAACAATAATGATATGTGGCTTATTTATACAGTCTTTATACAAGTCGTTACTTTTTTTATTCCAAAATTTTGTTATTTAAATAAAATAGAATCTTGACTAATGTGCTATATATTTTTGCCTGTCTTTTTAAGATTGGGAGCTGTATTTTTATTAATATTATCGTCGATAGAAAATTTGTACTATCTAACAATAAATCACTAAATTGTTTCAAAATTCGAAATAAAAATTGCTGTAATTTTTTTTTATGACAATTACACCGAAACGCATAAAAAAACAATACTAATCCTATTTATATATACTAACTATAACGCGCAACATTATGCGCATAACATAAAGAAAATAGAAAAAAGTAATATTTGTATGATGACATTTTCGAATTAATTTTCATTTTTAAAAGAAAATTTTGATTTCACGGTCCATTTTGGAGGTAAAACTTTGATAATTTTGGTTGCTTAGTGTGCCGGCGTACGCACGCGAAGTGCTGTACTGTACGATCGCACGATACGGCACGCGGAATGAGTGGAATTACTTCGTCGAAAGAGCAAACTCCACCGCAGATCGAGATGAAAAAAATCGCATTCTATCAGCATTTGCATGCTTTCAAACGCCATGGATTCTGCAATCGTAAGTAGAAATTGTTAGTATAATAAGTTAAAAATTAAGATTATACATTTTTTTATTATCGTTCTAATTTTTATTTGGAGATAGAATTTTTAGAAATTGGATAGTTAATAAATAATAGATTATCTATTTCTAAGTAAATTTTTTTTAGATTGAATTTAATTTCTAGTTAGAGCAAGATATTAAATTAAAGTTAATTAAAATTAAATAGTGTGAAAAACATGTTCAGTAAAATTTTAAATAAAAAGTGACAGATTCTTTACACATTGATTCAAGAAAAATCTGCTAAAGTATTAAAATTTTCAAAAATATCCTGCAAAAATATAAAAACTTGACAGCATGTTTGCGGGGATATAATTCATGTTAATGTATGTTAGGGTACTTAGCGAGCTTCTCGAGGGGAAAATGTACGACGAGGACGAGACGCAAAGGATCTTAAGAAGTTTTCCGCAAAATCCGGTCGCTGCGGAAATCGCCAGCAAGTTTGTGCAAAATAATTGGCAGGTTATCGTCACAAGGTACTTTGCAAACTTCTTATCTCTTCGTCAAACTTGAAAGCAGATTACGATGTTCTCTCATGTCTGTTTAGATTCTCCAAATGTCGCCCGATCGTTAAAGCTTTCGCATTGGCGATGACAAACGGCTTGATCAGCGAGGAAGACTTTGAAGACGTAAGTATGATTTAATATTACACTCGCAGAAATAATAATTTATACTAAAATAATAAGACAATAGAATAATTAATCATAAATGGATTCACTATAATCTTCATTTTTATGTTGGGAAAAATTTCCACGTTTCTTTCTGCGTTATTGAGTAGTAGCTCACAAAAGACATAATCTTTTCAAATATTTTACAAATTGCAATTGTACAATTTTAATGTCTATTTGATCCTTTAGTTTCAGACTTTCAGCGAGGATAATCTCGAAAGCATAAAGGTCGTGGGGTATACCATGGCGATGGTCGAAGCGCACGCTAAATTCGCGATAAAGTGGTTGAAGGAATCCTTACCGGAAGTGCAGGAGTGGTTAACGGCGAACAATTCCACGGAGACAGCGATATGAATTGTGAGATCCGTCGGGTGCAATAGGGATGAAGGAAACATCCCCCGCGCGCGCCCTGATAATTTATCGATTCGCTCTCGTATGCGGCGGTTGGCACTCGCGCACGCGAAAAGAACTGCGGGGAACGCTTTTTTCTACGACAACAAGTTTTATTTCTCCGTATGCTTTTGTCAAGCATGATTACAAAACCAAGCAACAAGAATCTCGTCCTTATATCGTGTAGCCTTAGAACGACGGTCGTTAGTATATAATTAGTTAGTAGGTACATATTTAACAAACGATATACATAATAATCGTATCTAACGGTGATAATTATTATTCCAATGTTTACCGTAAAACTCTCCCCGTTCACGCTCACGTTAACGGCGCTCTATTGCTATACGGTACGCTCGTTTTATAACACACTATATGTTATATCGTTACATAATAATCTATCCGCGTACCGTTCCTTATACTCTCCTCGCTTTTAGCCTAACTCGTTAAATGCGGTTTAGTACGGTATTCGCAAAAGCTATCAAATATACGCAGTTCGAGGGTTGGAAGCGATGATTTATCGTCGGTCGGGGCCTCGGCCCGTTGGAGATTAAAATCACCCGCGGTATATTAAAATCGAAGTCCTGAACACACCGCGAAGTCTCACCTCTTCGCGTATGTCGAAATCGCTCGAGACGAGTTAAAATCGCAGAACTGCGCAGCGCCGATTTTATATATAATTCGACGACGTCCAATCCACTTTTTACAATGCATTTAGCGCTAAATGCGACTTTTCCTATACACGTTTATATCGATTAACGTATCCTCATACTTAGATGAGCTACAAAAAAATGACATTAAGAATTTATCCAGACAAACTTGTGTAGCCGCATAACTATATGCATAAAGAAAATTATTCAAATGCATTTCTATCATAAGAACGCGCGTGAAATGCGATTGAATAATTTTTTTTATACATATGCTTATGCAGCTATGCAAATTTGTCTGGATAAGTCTGTAGACAGTCGCATTTAACGTTTAACTGTGGCTGCAGTTTTTATTTTATGTTTGCATACGGGAATCTCGTGTTGAAGCCCAGCGCATTTGGCGCTAAATGCGCATTCTGTTTGCAAATAAAGTTTCTCGATATACGAGAATTGTTCTAAAAATGTCTTTATTTTCCGATCTCTCATATGTTGCAAGGGTTATTTTCGAAACGAAACATATCTTCTAACGAAGCATATGGATTACATTGCACGTGAATATTTTTATCATGATTTTACTACGCTGACAATTAGAATTCATTAAAGACGTATACGTTTTTAATCGATTTATTTTTATAGTCTTACAAAGAAGATCTATCGGACCGAAAAGATAATTCACTTGATATTAACACAGATAAATGTTTTCCTTTTACTTCTAAAAGCTCCATTTCAAGAGATTACGTCTTATTTCGTAAACAACCCCTTCAATTATCAATCGTTTGGAAAAGGAATCGATCGTTTATTGTCTTCATACAATTCACTCGATTTTATCAGACGCATTATTATCGGTATTGCGTGTGAGCGCATTGTCGACATTCTAAAACGATCGCATATATACACATCGGCACGATGAAATACAATTATTAACATTTTGTGCGCGATTACAAACAAACAAATGCGAATTTTCTCCGGTTTTTAATTTCGCACTCGTGACAAACGCGTTTCGTATATGTCAAAAAAGATACGTCCTCGTTCGTTATATTTGGTCATGCCTTTCTGCGTCGAGCGCTCTTTTTTTTTCTTTCCGCCCGAATATGGCGAGTTTCGCTCAGTGCATTTAATGCGACACTGTTCAGTACTTTGTACGCCAGCGTTGAGATAATTCCACGCTCTTTTCATCGTGACCAAACGCTAATTAATGGCGTTCGAATTTTCAGTAATCCTGTATCGAGCGTCAATCGAATTCTATTGAAAACGGGATAAATAAAAAGAATTGCGCGAACATTTTTTAATGCAATACATCTCTTGCAAATTTAATATTAAAAAAATATTGGAGAAAGGAAAAACGTATCACGAATATAGTTATTATATCATGACAAAAGATTAATATTGCATCAATTGTATAGTATTTCAGATTTGAAAGATTATGACAAATAAAAAGATATATTTGTCTCTTGTGCCTTTCTTTCATAATTTTTTCATTGATTTATGTCTTTACGTTATTGGCATTTTAGTTGCTGCTTTTGATAAAATCCAATGGGTTTTATATGCAAATATATGAATAACTTTTTATTGTTTAAAATAATATTTATAATTCTTCTATTTGTAAAGATTATTTTTTTATAATATAACAATGTGAAGATTGTGAGTTAATATTATTTACTAAAATTTAATAAATAATAAAAATAGTTTGGAAGGTAATCACCATTTAAATTATAAATAAAAATTACGTAATTTAGTAGAACAATTAACGGATGGATAACCTATTGTGAATTATTTCTCAAACTTTATCAATTATTATTTCCCGCTGAAAAAAATTTCTGATATTTAATCAGACAAAGATCGAATATATTATTATCAGTATTATCACTGGCTAAAGGATTAAAATTGTTTTAAAAAATTGTGAAATGACGCATGTAGTAATGTGTTACAATAAGTACAATGTATTAAAAAGCCCCATACAATTTTTCGGGAAGATACCGATTTTATCTGAAAATCGTAAAAAAGGGCTCAATCGTTTATAACTTTTACTTACTCGCTACATCTTGTTATTTACACGGTATTTACATCTTAATTCTGTTAAATAATTTATTATCCTGTTAAATAGTTTATTATTTAAATGCGCATACTTCATTCGCTCTATTTGTCTCTTATTCGCTCTCGATTCGTAATCTAAGATCATCCTACCGATCAAATATTTCGATCACATCGACGTGATTTTCGTAGTTGGCGATGTATGTTTGCAGGACGTTGTCTACAACTCCATTGCTTTTCATTAATCATTTTATTGTTGACGATGACAACAAAAAAATTAAAAAATTAGTACTAAAAGTTGGTAAATTAGAAAAAATTATATAATACACATTTAATGTACAAAATTAAAATATTTTTTCGATCTATTAAATATAAATATTACATCTATTAAATGTATATTTAGATTGTTTAACTCGCAAGTATTTCAACAGCGTATATTCATTTCTATTAAGATTCTCAAGAGAATCAGAAATGTTAAAAATTTCATAAAATTTAAAATGTATGCTCTTTTACAAATCATATTAGCATATGAATTTTTTCGATTTCTTCGCCGGAGTTAGTTTTTAAGAAGATTTATAACAAAGTTCAAGTTTTTTTAATAGGTTCTAATGAGAGACGCTGCATATCAATTATTAAAAAGAATGACTATTAAAAATGTTAAAAACTGAATAAAATGTTCAATATGAAAAGAATATCATACTAAAAGCATTTTCAAAAAATTTGAAAAATATGACCATATGATTTATATTTAAAAAATGTAAACCACAGTATAATAAATATAAATATCAAAACGTGTATTTAATCAAAATTTACTTAAATAAAAAAATTTTAATTTTGTAATACTCTGTATTCTGAAAAATGGAATTGTCTTTACTATTATCTCAATCTTTAATTACTATAGTTAAATAAATTTATAGTTAAGTGTCATAATTTAATCAATTTAAATTCAAATGGCGTTACTGTTTTATCGCTGTCGCAATAAATACGTGATAATTAAATTTCGATGAAACAAGGAGCTATAGGCTAAAACTGACTTCCTTATTTTTTTCAGTTCATCGGAAGCTATAATGTTAAAATTAGAACACTGACATATTTGTTTCACCGCATTAATTAGGGTTTAAATGCCATTTTCGCTATAAAATCGTCGTCGACGCGAATATTACCAATCGCGGTGTCATTTTATAACAAGTAAATATATAGCTCTATCATAGAAAATGTGTGCGTTGTTTTCCTAACGATCTAGTGCGGAGTAGATTTCTTTCGCTTTTTCTCTCTCGCTAGGAGAATAATTCCTTGAGTGTACTACGATACTAAATGCACGCCTCTTTATTTCCTTCGAGTCTAACGCTTCGGCGTTCACTGGACGATTTTCAATCGAGTAGCGATCACGTTCACAATATTCGGCATAGATCGCGATCGGTGCCGATCGCTGCGTGGTCAGTCAGGAAGAAACATATTTGCTCGAGTCTCGAGTAGAAATTATTTTGCGTAAAATTCCACCTTCTCGCTGATCCGTCCCTCGATTGATTGACGAATGAAAGAAGCGATCGTATGCCGGAAATTGTTCTTTCCTTAAACGATCGATGGCCATTCGAATGATGGTGCAAAAACGCTCTTAAAGTATCGGCGTTGCGTTTTAATGGCAGTAGTAATGGGGAATCTTTATTTTCTCCCCTCGCCGTAATAGTAATAAATATATATATATTATATATATTTATATTTACAGTTCATCGTACTACAATATTATATCTAAAATGCGCGAAAATTATTACTTGTTAGTTATGACTAACAATAATAAGAGTCCTAAAAGACGTCGAAGAATCGGGTACATCGACGCAAGTATCGATCGTCGACTTAAAAGGCTATCGGCAAAATCGGTGAATCCTCTTGTTTCATCGAAAGGGAAAGTCAATTCTTTTGTGCTTTTTTTACATGCATGTAAATGTTGGTACCGGATAAAACCGGGTATTTGTTTCAAGGGAATAATTGGTCGATTAAGCTTCTTGAGCTTAAATTAACCCGGGAACGGGCGCCTGGGGTGATTTTTACACCCCAGTAAAAAATAAAACTCATGGTAATTTTAATGTGCTTCTTTTGTTCTTTAAATATTTTTTTGTTCATTTTTCCTTACTTTTTTCAGAAAGTGTTGAGTAAATCTATATGTACATATTGTCCTTGAATACTAATAAATTATAAAACAATCAAAAATATGCATTATGTAATTATAATAATAATGACTTTTAATTGGAATGTAAAAATTACCTTAGGTGACCATTTATGGAAAAAAAACCCAGACACCCGTTCTCGAGTTAATGAAAGATTCAATATTGTTCTATGTAAACGAATAACACGTTACTCAGTATTTTCATCAATTCTGGAGCGTGAATTACATATAAAATCGTATTGAATTATCACAGAAAAAGTTCCATCTCTGAATTTCCTGAATACGCGACAAATCGATAATTTAGGTAAGAAGAGGATTCAAGATTCTCCGACGTTGATTTACGTTTCTCGCGAGTAACAGTCCGCACGGGCGATTTGCGACAGACGAATCGTCTGACCACAAATGACAAGTATCATACATGACGCGTTAACTGTGTCTATAAAAGAAAACGAAAAAAAGGACAAAATATAACAAAATGACGACTCACAGTGACAACGACCACAAACTACGGTATTGAACAACGGCGTCAATGGTTGTTCAATTCCCTACAACTATCAGCTTTAGAATTCGTATGCTTTACTTGTTCTTACCGTACTATCGGTTATTCTTTATCATACTCTCACGCGTTTCACTTTTCATTACAAAATACAATATATTTTTATTTGGACGAGGTAACGCGAGATGCGTCGGCGAACGCTTAGATATACGTTCTCTTCTTCGCGTAAAGAACAGCAAAGAGAAGAGGAAACGATAATATAACTTGACGTATAAATAAAGTTATTTACATCGCTTATCGGAAAAGGGAAAAGGGAAAGAGATCAAGAAGAAAGCGAGAGAATTAAGTGACAGATACGAAGCTCGCAGAAAGTTTAACTATGGAAGTATAGTAATTGATAGTAGGAAAGATTATCAAAAAGGAAAATTAGTTGATTATTTTTGAGATAGTATTTAATTGAATAGGACTTTGCGTTACCGACGCGCTATCGGCTCGTCCGTCGCTCTTAAATATATATTATACATATTATATACTCGTATAAATGGTTAAGTTTCTAAAATTATCAACTGGTTATACACGTCGAGTAAGATTACGCCCTAAGGTCTGTGTACGACGAGCTAGCTACGCGCTGATTACCTAATTAATTCGCATAATGCGAGCGACTCCCGGCTCGCGTTGCAAAGGGCAAAACGCTCACAAAACGCAACTTTCGTCGTTCGAGGCGAAGTATTATTCGCGTACAGATTGCTGCCATCGTATTGCGATGGTACTGCAGCCTCTCATTCGCATTTTATTGTAATGCAGAAGCTCGCAAGCCCCAAGCTTCAGTAAATTGCGCACGCTGCAACAAGCTACGGAATTATTGATATACAATGCGTTTAATGTAAAAAACGTTGAGAAAGAAAAAAACCTTTGCTCACATTAAGGCGTTCTTCATTGTAAAACGTGCGCGCAAGATGCTGCAGCAATGCAACCGCATCGCGATGTCATCAACAGTCAAAGCTATCTTTGTATCGGCTGTCTCGTTCTAGATTATAAATCTACAACGTAGACTGAAATATGACATTAATTAATTTTTCGCGTTAGCCCTAGTTCACGTCGAGCTTTTACTATTCCGCGCCCTATTCGAACGATAACTCAGCGCCCGTTCGTACACGTTTCGACGAACGACGGGCGGAGATCGGAAGCTCGATCGTCGACGTTCAGTCCCCGTTCCCGAGGCGACTAAAATTATACTATACAGTGTTTACACCATAATGTCCGTTAGCCTGATGTATTACCCGATTAAATAGTGGCAGCTTCGTATTACGATTTATTTGAGCAGACTATGGTAGGTGTACGTAGATCTTCCTGCGAATCTCACGTCTATTACGCGAGCGACGCGCCCTTTTGGGAGACACCGAGTGTAATTTGTTCGAGCAACGAGTTTTCTCGCCCCGAGTTTTCTCGTTTCAGGATTTTCTAACGTATACATCGTCTTCTTTCTCACCCTTCGATCGACACTGTCTCTCCAAACAGACGATGTTTATTTCGCTCCTTCGGTTTTCTTCTTTCAAAGGAGCTTAGCATCCCACTCGTCGTCTTTAAAACCGTCGATCGTATACTTTCGATCACTCTCTTCGCAAAAATCGGAGCCCTTTTGCCGTAATTTCGTCATTGAGGATAAGGAGGTGGAACTTGCGGACACTCCTAAAGACTAGGCCCGGGACGTCTGGCCCTTAGTCTTTCTCTACGGTGCAGGGCTCGGGCATGGACTACTGGGGCGGACACTTCACCACCGTCGTGGTCGCGAATTCGCTGAACTTCTTGTCGATAGGCACCCGATCGTCGTAAAGGGTGGGCGCTTGCAGGATGATGCCCGCGGTACCCACCAGAACTGCCAGAGTGAAGATCCAGAGGAACAGGCGGTCGAGCACCATCGCCACGTACTTCCAGTCCTCCTTTACCTGCGCGCAGAGAAACGATTTCTTTGATTTATCGAAATATTTTCTGTTGATAGTGGCGAATTAAGACATATTCACACCCAATCTAGGTATTCTATGTACAATATATAAATATATGTGTACGACTGTATGTATATGTTATATATATATTAATAGAAAAAAAGCAATAATTGTTCAAGTAAAATTTTTATTCAAAGATGTCTCTTTACTAATTTCAATGGATATACCTTAGTCGAGTCTTCGAGCATTTTGGTGTGTTCCGCGATGAAGCGCACGCAGATGCAGGACCTGTGCACTTCCGGTGGACAACGGGAGTGCGAGAAGACGGGTGGGCTTCGTAACGCGGGACTCTTGACTTCCTCTATGCCCGCGTCCCCGGAGACCGAGAGATCCTCACACTCGGTGTGTAACGGTAACGGTGGTAAAGGGGGGCCATGAATCAAGCAGCTGCCTCCGAACCTCGCACCGTCTGTAAGGCTGAAGCAATCGGAGAGCATAACACTGTTAGATATGTTTTTCTCTTCCTTCTAGTAAGAATTTTCATCACTATTATTGTAAAGAAGACAATATTTTAAGATCATTTCATGAGTTTAAATTTATAGTTATAATTTTATCCGTGTAAGTTCTTTTGTAGACAAGAAGATACTTTTAAATTATGTTTTGTAATTATAAACATTTCTGACAAAAATAATGAGCCGTTAAAATATAAGCGTGGCAAATCTCAACAGAGTAACGTAAGGAAGAAGAGCTAATTAGTAGGAGCATTTTCTAATTGTCATAAATACCTGGAAGGCGAGAGATCTTCCTTTGACGGAGGACGGCTGTGGAATCTCTTGGGTGTGAGGTGTTCTTCGCTGTCTTCCTGAGTCGACGGATGATAAGGATAATAACAAGTCTTCTCCTTTCCTCTGACGGTCCTCATTAGCACTCTGCCGGAAGTGTACCTGCAAACATAGACAATCGGACGCGGAATTTTAATGCGGGTCGTGCCACGTCCTGAAAAGCGACGGGCTATAGCTGACGGTGACTACTGCCGAGACTAGAATGTAAGGTCGCGCCAAGTGTCTAAAACATTATTGTTACGACGCAATCTCCGTGTAACGAAATCCCTGATTGCGATTTTTATCGCTCGTACACGAAGAACATGTAAGCAACGGCTTATTTTTCGTCTGAGGTTTTCTTTACACATTTAGTATTTTATAATATTTTCTCTAATTTTCAGAGCTAAAAATGTATTGATAAAAAAGTTTGAAATTAAGATTTTTTCAAATTAATTAAAATAAAAATTAAGAAAACCTTGTTTTTTATTACATTAATCGTGTTATATTTTCTGCTAAGAAAAGAGAAATAATGGATTCATATTTTCGTCTAAGGTTTTCGTATTTTTGAATAATATACATTCTCTGCAGTTACATTTGATACCAACCTGCTAGTTTCAAATTTATATTGAGGCCTCCTCATGACTAGGAGTCGCGGAAGAATGTGTATGAAAACCCTCTTCACCCAGGGTGCCATTCTGTGCGTTTGTGGTGAACGGAAGTGAACATTGAGAACGACCACGGTAACGCATATACTGAAAAAAATAAAAAGACAAAGTCAGATTAATTATACGTGTATTATAAATACAATATTAAATAAGTGTTAGCAGGATATCTTGTCATTATATGTATCAGAAGATTACTTTGTTACCCACAATAATGTAAATAACATTTAGATAATATATATGCCTTTGATCAAATGTAATTTAGTAACAAACTTTGTTGTATATAATAATGTAAGTATTAGCGTAGAAATGTTAATCCGGCCGGTACGAATAATATACTCGTACTAAGTTCATAATTATTGCAGTCTCAAAAATAATACGTGTTGTATCCGTTTCGCACGGCAATGGTAATTAGAAGCTGACTGCAAAATTATTACCTGCGGCACTTAACGAAGCTCTAATGAAATTTTTAATAAACACTGCTTTATTACGGCGAAGATCTTAATCCCCGTTAAGCTGGAAGAGAAGGCTTCCTACGCACGGTTTTAATGTGTATGGCTCCACTCCACACAGTGGAGCCGTTCCACTGCAATTTTAACTGCACAAGCTTTTTAAGCCGGACGTTGTAAAAAACTTTGTTATTTTGACAAATACTAGTTTCCAGAGAAAAGAGAAAAATAACGCATTAAGTTATAGTTGTATGTATATACTATTATGTATATTCAGCAAGTTTTTAGCTTTAAACAGATTAGGTTCTTTTACAGCGGATAATATCCAGAACTTTAAAAAAAATGATGGATGCTTGGCAGTTAAATTTTTAACTTACGGAAACTTTAGAAAATTTCCATTTATATTCTTCTGCATGCACGTTTCTTAATCTCTTTCGCGAATGACGATAAAATTTCATAGTTTTACGATACTGTCTGTTCTAGAAATCGGTCATTAGGTCACCACGAGTTTATCTTGGCGAACGGGAGCAAATTGCCATAACGTACAACCAGAATTGATCTCGAAGGCGGGATGGAATGTAAATCACACGAGACTATTCATAACGCGGATCCATTCGGCGATGGGAGATTCTATAGCTGAGCAAAGGACAGGCCGCGGTTTAAATTGGATCCACTTTCTTTGACACGGCTTCAAACCATTTATCGGTTCGGGTTACATCGCCGCGGCGGCGACGTAAATTCTCTATCCTCACGTCTGTTCGCTTTTTATCATTCTCGACGAGCTCGCGCGTTAGTCATCCCGGCAAAATGTGCCATAATGCTCGCGTATTAGCCGTTCGCCATGCAGGCTATCTTCGCTCTAAGCGTGTAATCTCGAACGACGGGACGTGACAAGAAAGATTTTTGCGGTAAAACATTATAATCACTAATTCTTGAGATAAATTTTTAAAGGAAATAATAAAAACATTTATTACAAATGTTTAATAATACGATTAGTTATTATAAAAGATTTGTATATAAATTATTTTTTTTATTCTTTTACTTTTCGATATGGGATATATTAATTTTATTGTCGTATATTTAAGCTCTTCCTCGCCCCTAAATATTATATAATATATACATATGTATATAAATTTCAATTATGTATTAAATAAAAATGAAAGAAATGCCTTTTGATAAAGAGAAATTTTGCAGAAATATATGTACGCAATCGTATTATACGTACAGATAATCAAGACTACTGCTAGGTCGAAGATGCGTTCACCAGGCTAATGCGCCAAAGGATGCCACGCGCGGAATCCCGCATACATCCTAACAGAAATTCATAATGGTGCCGATCGAAGGAGAACGAAGTGATCCTCTTGAAATTCCAGTGAGATGGGAAATTTGGCGCTATGTACGGTGTGGCGGACATTGCGCATTTCTTCACGATTATAAATTCCTTTGAACTTTAATTTCTTGTCTTGGAAATAAGATTCTTCTTCGTATCTCTTTAATTTTCTGTATTAATATATTGTGATAATTATACTTCAAGTTAAGATTCTGTTACGATATATGCCACGCCCGCTTGAAACTAAACAATTAAAAAATAAAAATGTGTTACTGTCACTTTATTCGCGAAATACTACGCGGCATTCACGTCTATAATTCTTTAAGTCTTTCAATCGCACGTATAGCTTAATAGCTACCAATGTCTCGGTGTTCTGGAACGAACTTGGCATTCTTTTCTATTTGTTCCGCAACGTTCGCAATCACGGGAAATGCGCAACACCTAAGCGCTGTACATCCCAGGATTCAGCTCCACGGGTGGCTGGAGCCCAACCTCAGTGAACGCTGCTACTGATTAATGTGTCACACCTACTGCATCCTTGCAGCGTCCGAAGCTATTAGGAGGTTTCCACACACGCATGCACACACACACACACACATGGGAAGACACGTGGCTTCCACTCAAACAACGGCCCGCATGCTGTCGGCCCAATTCGCCAATTTGCTGACTCCCTCGTCTTCAAGGAGAACTCGCCGCTTTACTCTTCGTTGCCCAAGTAGATCGCGTCATCGATTCAACCGGGGGTGCGTCTTAAGGCACGAGACTATATCGCCCCTGTGGAAACACGTTCAACGTCCTCCACGTCGATAATGGCTGACACTCGAGACTTCGCTTTCAAGTTTCAAATTGGTAGACTTCAAACGTTTCGATGTCACATCCACGCTCCGATTATTCTATTTTATTTTAAAAGTCCCTCTCAAAGGAACTTATAATTCTTTTCTGACCATTATAATATTTTCATGCATCTTTGCATATTTTATGGGGTGAGTAAAATCATATTTTTTTGTTAAGAAGACAATTCATGCGTAAAAGGATTAATTCTCCTCTTATGTTAATGCTGTTTAAGAGATTAGTGATATTCATATATGAGATAATAATAATTATATAGTTATTATACATAGTATGATAGTATAGTAATTATAGTATTATAATAATTGTAGTTATTACAGTAATATATCATATATATAAAGTTTAGTTGAATATTTTTATTCTATTGTATATCCAGCCAGAAATGATTAGTCAAATCGACATCGATTTGATGGTCGGTGTCGAATATTGAGTGATATTTTTGTTATCTCTGATCTCATATTATAACTGTTTCTATGCTAATTGAGCAATTGCAAACATTTCTATTAGATTTCTATTATCTTTTGCTCCTTCTTTCCATTCTATATCGAATACATAGTATAGGTATATGACTGTGTTTTTCAATTTTCCATTAATTTGATATAGAACTGTCCGAAGGCAATGGAAATATTATAGAAATTTTCACAATTGTGCAATTCGAGATCGAAGATGACAAAAATATCACCCAGTATTCGATATTCATCAACGGTATCAACATCAAATCGACCTCGATTCGACTAATTATTTCTGGGTTATTTTAAATCTCGGAAATTTGTGCATCTAATTAAGAAAAACTTCTATAATGCACGCAACATTATATAAAAATTACGTGCAAAAGTTGTGTCATTAAAAAAAGGGTTGCCTTCATTAATACAGCTTCGTGAAACGAGAGGGACTTTCTTTAATGAAAAGCTCGAATATCAAATATTTTCTTGGAAATAATAACTCGCAATGGCTGCCGGATGGTTGTTACGCTTAACCAGGTCCCTTTTTCCTTTCTTTATTTCTCCTTTTTTTTCTCATTGAAGACCAAATCCGCTCGAGAGGTAAGCAATCTTCATCTCGCGCTCGTCCTGGCTCGACTTGGCTGCGTAATCCAGAGAAATATTGCAAATTCGAGAGCTACCGGGAAGTAAAAAGCCTTTTGCTGTTCTAAGACGTTCGCGGACGTGGAATGAATCGTGAAATCGCAAAACGCTCCTCTACCGATTCTCCGAGGAAAAGACCATTAAGTCTCGGATGCGCGTAGTCTATTGCTCGTATTTGCCAGTGTGTATCTAAGAAGAAGAAATATGCTCTCCTCCATTCGCGCGCCCTGGCGAGCTAACGCACGTTTTTTTAAAACCAATTTACATACTTCGCGTTTGAATTAAAATACTTGAGAAGGTATCCCCGCTGAGAAGAGTCTGGCAATAAAAAAAGCACATCTTAAAGAACGACATTTTTTATTGCTCTTAAAAAATTAAATGATGACATTACGCTTTACGCACGAAGCTCCCCCGACATGGAAAATAAGATCGTGCGTGTGGTTTTCTTTGGTGAGACGCAAGCGTGTCGAAGGGAACGCTCTCGATCTTCGCTGTGAATCGGCCGCGTCACGCCGAGGAAGCGACGTTGTACAAATTTCCAAGTCGCTTCATCATCGTCGGCTATCAGTCACGAAGAAAAGAAGCGTTGCGCGAGACGGAAAGCATGGGTTCAAAAAAGCTTTATAAAAAAAATATATTAGAAAAGGGGGCAAACGCGGAGAAACGCGGAGAGAAATTCGTGAAGAATGAATGTGGGAGATCGCGGGGGAAAAATCCTACGACATAATCGCGGTACATCAGTAACAACAAGAGTTTTCGATATTATGTTTCAGAGACGGTGAGCACTAATAAATTATTCGTACAACGATTTTCTTAAATGTTATTTGTTGCATGGCGATATTGGTTTAAAATTATGTTTCTTTATTTGTGCTACAAATTTATACTAATGTATTATGAAATGTACAACGATAGCTTATGCATATAATTATTTATGATTGCCATGCTATACGACGTTGTGTATCCTCGACAATCTGACAGGATGAAGAAGAAACTGCAGAAATACACAAATCAAGAAGTGATTACACCTTCCGGGACGAGCGGTATATTCTCAGAGGTGACGAACGGGGGCCATAACTGCGAAGCTACAACAGAGGCTCCTACAGCCTGGTCGGGCCAAGCAGGATGTAACCTACATCCGTATGATGCATTACACCGGCACACTTCCGACGTTCGCACGTTTTCTTCGTCGCGAACTCTACGCCCTTTCGGCGAATCGAAATATTTCTTCGCGGGGATTTCCCGGGACCGAGTTTGTCTGTTCCTCACGCGGGTCTCTCTGTGACCCACTTCGCGAATTCATGTGCAACCGGCACGTACTGTTTCGCAACCGTTCATCTTCGGGGCGACGACCGCATGAATCGTAATCACGTTCGAAAA